TGATGCCCCTGACAGATGGGAGTGAGAACCTGATTGGGAGGGCATAGGCACCCTCCCATCCCTCCGGGGCCTCAGAGTGGCAGTAAACACCCATGTATTCTCTGAGCCTGGGGGAGCACAGGCAAGTGCAGCTTGAAGGAGGGAGAACCTCACTTCTCCTTTCTGAATTTTGTAGCACAGTATCTTTAAACCCAAAATAGGAAGGACTGTTGGAAAAGACATGGCTGAAATCTCCCTCCTGGCAGCACTCTCCCCACAGCCCCCTTATTTATTTATTTACTTACTTACTCATTTTGAGGCAGGGTCGCATGTATTATAGCCCTGTTTGGCTTCAATCTTGCTAAGTAGCTGAGCATGGCCTTGAACTTCTGACCTCCCTGTCTCCACCTCCCAAGGGCTAAGATGGTAGCTGATAGATGTCTGGTTTAGGCAGCACGAGGGATTGAAACCCAGGTTTTGTACCAGTTGGGAAGCGCTGTCAACTTGCGCTATTATTTAACCCATTTTTATTTTTGAGACTAAGTAGCTCAAGCTGACCTCACAATCCTTTCTTCTTGGCCACCACAGTGCTAAGATTACCTCTGGGTGTACCACTCAGCCCTGTCCCCACCCCAGGGTCCTTTTATAGCCACATTACAGAGCCAGTCACACTGACTCTGGGCCAGCTCTAGGCTCTCTCTTTTTTCCCTTCCATACTAGCTTGTTTTTCTGTAGCTGTGATAAGACACCATGACCAAAAGCAACTCAGGAGAAAAGGGGTTATTGGGCCTTCCAGGTTAAAGTCCATCACCCGGGGGAGCAGGAGCAAGAGCTCAGGGCAGAGGCCTGGGGACAGACACTGAAGCAGAGACCGTGGAAGAATGCTACTGACTGGCTCTCTTTCCAAGGCCTGTTCAGTCTATTTTCTTATACAACCCAGGACTAACTGACCGGGAGTGGAAACTGCCCACAGTTGCCTGGTCCTCCCACATCAATCATTAATAAATGAATCAACCCCACAGATATACCCACAGGCCCGTCTGATGGAGGCAACCCTCCAGTGGGGAGCCTCCTTCTCAAGTAACTCTGGTTTCTGTCAGGTTGAGGGAAACCAGTTCACCATCTGTTCCCACAAGGTATGGTGACATCAAAGGTCTCAAGGTGATCTTTGGCTAAGCTGGACTCCTAGTCTAGCGACAGGAGTTTGGCAGGAGAAGCTCAGAGACATGTAGAGGTGATCATGTGGAAACAAGGGCTGGAACTGTGTGTTCAAAAGTTCTGGCCACCTGGAACCCCTGAAAGATGGACGAGGCAGGAAAACCTTTGTCCCGCAGACTAGGGAGGGTGGGATGCACTGCAGAGCCCGGATGTCAGACTTTTCACATCCAGGGCTGCGAAAATAAATTTCCATTGCTCTAAGCACCCTGTCGTGGCCATCTGTCGCAGCAGCCTCGGGGTACTAGCACATGGCACGTCTTTACAGGCAGTGAAACTGGCACACTTCAGGGAAGAGACTAGGCTATGGGCGAGCCTCAGTGTGCGCCACACGGCCAGCAGGACGTGGCAGCTTCCCCCAATTGGGTGGCAAGTTGGTACCTGTGGACAAATGAGGTCCTTGAGTACCCAGGGCAGCCAGGGATGTCCAAGGAAAGGAATGCCACCCTGTAGCACAGTGTCACCGCAGCTGAGGCCCAGCTGGTTTCTCCCAGTGTCCCTGGTTGGCCCCAATGTCCTCCTTTCCCCTCCCTGAGGTCTGTAAACCCTACAGCTCGCAGAGTCTGGCTTAGGGACCTGCACAGGGGAAGCACATGGCAAATACTAACTAATGATGATGATGAAACAATTTGCAAAATAGGAGCTTGGGGACCCAGAGGCCTGACATCTACACAGAGCTAGTGCCACAGGGAAATGAGTTAATGAAAGATGTCTGAGGGGGTGGCGAGCCCCCAGCAGAAGAATAACCTCCGTGTGTGTGTGTGTGTGTGTGTGTGTGTGTGTGTGTGTGTTTAAGACAGAGAAAGAAAGAGAACCAGAAACTGTGATCCTATTTTATGAACCAGAAACTAGCCCCAGAGCTGATGATATCACTTGCCCAGCACACAGGAACCCGAATTCATCCTCAGGTATTGAAAGAAAATAAAACTCTTCAACTTAACTCTGTTGGTCTCTTGTAAGTGACAGACAGACATAAGCTTGAGACTGAATGTCCTGGATTCAAGGACACTCCAGAAACTGAAGTCACCGAGTTTTCAATCTCCACTATTTTTTGTTTATTGTTTGTTTGTTTGTTTGTTTATAAGAGTCTTACAAGGTAGTCCTAGCTAACCTGTGTTCACTACAGAACACAAGCTGGCCTCAACCTTGAAGCAACTGGGTTGGCCAAATGGCTCAGCAGGTTGTCAGCTTGACAGTCAGAGTTCAATTCCTGGAGCCACATAGAATGGAAAGATGAGAAACAATGCTCCAAAGTTGCTCTTTGACGTCCATGAGCTCACACTCTTCATACTGGCAAATGCCTGGCTTGACACGCATACATGTTTGCACACACAAGATACATTTATTCTAAGATTCATTTATTTTTATTTTATGTATATGAGTATTTTGCCTTTATATATGTATGTGAACCATGTGTATAACTAGTATCCACAGAGGTCAGAAGAGGCCATTGGCTCCCCAAGAACTGGAGTTACAGATAGTTGTGTGTTGCCATGTGGGTGATAGGAACCCAGCTCAGGTCCTCTGCAAGAGCAGCCAGTGCTCCTAACAGTTCACCCATCTCTCCTGCCTCATACATAATTAGTTTTGTTTGTTTTTTGAGACAGGGTTTCTCTGTGTAGCTCTGCCTGTCCTGGAACTCAATCTGTAGACCAGGCTGTGCTTGGACTCAGAGAACCACCTCCCTCTACCTTCCAAGCCCTGGGATTAAAGGCGTGTGCCACTATCTCCTAGCTCATAAATATTTTTTTAAAAAATGGATCATCTTGTCTCAACTTCCTAAGTGACAGGATTATGGGCATAAATCATTATACCTGGCTATATCTCCACCCTGTCTTTATTTTTTATTTATTTTGGGGGGGGGTTCAAGACAGGGTTTCTCTGTGTCACTTTGTTGCCTGTCCTGGAACTAGCTCTTGTAGACCAGGCTGGCCTCAAACTCACAGAGATCCTCCTGCCTGTGCCTCCCTAGTGCTGGTATTAAAGCCGTGTGCCACCACGGCCCGGCTACCACCCTGTCTTTAATAGCTTTATTAAGATACAAAGTCATAAAGATACAATTGCCACATTTAAAGGGTACAATTCACTATGAGTGGTGGTGTTCTCCTGTAACCCCAGTGTTCAGAAAGCTAAATAGGAGATCAAGAGTTTGAAGTCAGACTGGGCTACTCAGTGACTGTCTCTGTTTAGGAAAAGAAAGAAAAAGTATAGGATTTAGTGGGTTTTAGTATATTGGTTTTTTTCTTTTGTGAAATTGCATTTATTTGTGTGTGTACATATACATGTATGGGTGCATTGGTGCTACGCTGTACCTGTGATGGTCAGGGTTGGTTCTCTGTTTCCACCGTATGGCTCCTGCGGACTGAACTCGGGTTATCAGGCTTGCTAACCAGTGCCTTTACTTACTGGCTGGCCTGTAAGTCACAGGAATCCCCGACTCTACCTTCCCAGTGCTGGGATTGCAGGCACACACCACTGTGCCCAGTTTTTACATTAGTGCTGGGGTCAAATGCAATTCTTCTTGTTTGCACGTCAACACTTTATCAACGGTCATTTCCTCAGCCTGCTTGTAAACATTCTAATGGACATTTTGGTGACATTAATAATATCACAAGGCCAGGCGTGGCATCACATGCCTTTAATCCCAGCCCAGGGAAGGCAGAAGGTGGTGAATCTCTGTGAGTTCGAGACCAGCCTAGTCTACAGAGCGAGTTCCAGGACAACCAGGGCTGTTACTAGAGAAACCCTGTCTCAAAAAAAATAAACAAACAAAAAGACATGACAATGTGCAGCATCAATTTCTGAAGAAGGTTACCACCCTGATCAGAAACTTTCTCCCCAACACCTAAGACCAATGAGTCTATGGGTTCACCTGTTCTGGACATTTTGCTGAAATGATGTCACACATGTGGTCGCTTGTAACTGGCTTCATTCACATCCACTCACTGCAGTGTCTTCAGGGTCACCAGTGTTAAGATGACGTCAGGACTCTGCTTTTCCTGCTGTACCAGGCTGTTGTTCTGCTGTGTATCTGCTGGAGGTCTTGAATAATCCTTTCATTCTGTCAGCCTTCCACTCTGTTTGTTCTTAAAGGTTTGGGGGAGATTGCATCACTCTCCTTCCGACATTAGAACATACACACGCACACACACCAAACAGAAACTGTTCTCGGACCTGGTCCTGCCCAAGGACCTGCTTCTGTTAATGTTTTCCCACACTCCTGTCTTAAAGTCTCTCTCTCTCTCTCTCTCTTTATCTCTTTCTTTCTTGGTTTTGGTTTTGGTTTCTGGGGGGCAGGGTTTCTCTATGTAGTTTTGGAACTTTCTGAACAAGCTCTGTACCTCCAACTCACAGAGCTTCACCTGCTTCTGCCTACCTGGAGTGCTGGGGTTAAAGGTGAGCGCCACCACCACCCGGCTCTGTTGTAAAGTCTTAACAGTACTTGTCAATTTAATTTTGGGTAAATCCATTTCAAAGCATTCCAGTGAACCAAAGATAATTTTGTGTTCTCCTGATGCAGGCACTGTATCTGGGCCTTGCTTGAAGGAAACCCGGATCCCACCACTACGTGCTGCGGGAGAGATTCTGGGGTTTCATTTTTTGCATTCTTTGCCTACACTACCCCTCTACACCACCACAATCCAAGGGAAGCTCGCGAAAATTGAACTCTGACAAACTTGGTGTTTTGCATCTGGTGGCCTGAGAGCTCAAGGCCGCCAGCAGAGGGCGCGCACTCTTTCCAAAACTTGCCCATGAGGAGAAATGAGCATGCGCATGAATTTGCGTTTTCCGGCAGAGTGGCGGAAGAGTCCTATCATTTATGTCGTTTTGCGACACCCCCGTGCGACGCTCAGCGGCAGTGAGGCTGTCATGGCGTCGCCCTTCAGTGGGGTACTACAGCTGACCGACCTGGATGACTTCATCGGGCCGTCTCAGGTGGGCCGGCCATGGGCAAGTCGCGCAGGAGGAGGGGCCGGGCCTGGCCGTGCGCAGCGGGAAACCTCTCCCACCTGTGGCCTTTCCTGAGCTCGAGACCCGACCCAGGGCCGGGTCTCAGTCAGTCTGGTTCACTTCTTACCAACACAGACAGCTAAGGCTAGGGAGGGCTGGGCAGCTAGCTATTTGACTCCAAGATGTCCAGGAGGGATTTCCAGAAGCTATGGGAGTCTTTAGGGGTGACAGTAAGGCTTAATGTCACATAAAAGGGTGTTCCAATAGTGTCACCCAACTTGTGATGCAGAGACACGATTGGGGCTGGACAGCCTCCGCACCTGTTAGGCATCTCTTCCCAACCCTCTCTCAGAACCAGTTTGTTCATCTCAGTGGAAGGGACCGTGTTGAAGGGACAGGTGAGATGTTCGCGGGGGCCACAACCATAACTAATGTTCTTGGCCTTTCCTTGGGAAAGATACAAGGGAGTCCAGACAGCCACACCTGAAAACAAGAGCTGGTGCGCTTGCCTTGGTGTTCCTTTGTCCCCAGAGCTAGTAGTTGGTAGCCAAGCCCCACGACCTCTCTGAACTGGGGTATCTGGCCTGGGACTGGACATCTGAAAGGCTATCTCCTAGAAGGCCACCAAGGGTCTGGAGATGTTAAGGGGAGGCATGAAATTTCATCAGTGGCAACGATTGGAGGTGACTTCCAGATGTTTCCAAGGAAAGCATTCCTGCCTGGCCGTGGCCTCTTGACACTGTGTCTGATAGTGCTACTGTCTGACCTAGGAAGGACAGGCTTGTCGAGGGTGTCTGCAGACATTAGCTTGCATACAGAGTCAGCACCAGATCCTGCTGATCTTGACCTGGAGAGTGAATGGCCTTGATGCTATCTTCACCTTGCACAGAAAAGGGTGGGCAACCAGAGCTCAGCATGGCTTCAGTGCCATGAAGGTGGTGGAACTGGCCTTGGTGGTGAGCCTCACTCTGGCCAGCAGCCAGCCAGCCCTGAGGCCCAGCATCCCCCAGAGTTACCTTCCCCTAATAGAGCCTGCTTTGGGGTCTCTTCCTGGCGTAGAACTGCATCAAGCCTGTGAAGGTGGATAAGAAGCCAGGAAGTGGCATAGCCAAGATCCACATCGAAGATGATGGAAGTTACCTCCAAGTGAACCCAGTAAGGAGCCAGAGGTCTCACCGCATCCCTGATGGGGGCGGTGGCGGCTGGGGTGTGTGTCCTGGGAGGCAGATCTGAAACACACTTCATCCAGTCCCAGATGTGGCCACCCTGAAACTCCCTGCACCTCACCAGCTCTCTCACTGGTCACAGTCACCATGGGAGCTGGGAGGGTGAGTAGGGATGCCCAGGTCGGCCAGCCTGTCCTATTCTGCACTGGGCAGGGAGCGCTTTTGTGGAGATGGTGGATTTTTCCCACCTCCCCTTGTCCCTACCTCTAGTAGCATAAGACTTTGTGGGTTTGGCCCCTTAAGCCCCCTTTCAATGAAAACTAACCCTGACTAGCTGCTCTTTGTACTCTAAGGACTCAGTTTGGAATCTCATGCCCCACTGCACTGAGAGGTGATGCCCAGCCATGGAACCCTGAATAGGGGAGGGGCCGAGCATGGGTTTGGAGAATGAGTGTGCAGAGCCCTGTGAACAATGGAGAGCAGGATCCAGCTATGGCAGAGAAGGCCAGCTATTTGTCCACAACAGTGACCTTGTGACACGATAGCACCAGCTAGACCCCAGTGCACCAGGAGGCCGTGGTTCTCAACAAGGGGTTCCATGGATGGAGGAACAGAGGAAGGAGCCCATCACCTTGTGCTGGGGGCTTTAAGGACAAGTGGCCTCATCTTCATGGTGCTGCTGCAGCCTAGTCTTTTGGTGTGGGCTAACCTCAGGTTGGGGCGCTGGTGTAAAGCACAGGCTCAGGGAACAGTTCGAGGGACTTCTAACCCTCTAGTCTTACTCCTCTGGTCAGTTTGGACCCCTGTAGCTCACCTGACCTATCTCAGACCAGTCTTCCATCTGTGTTGAGGGGCTCAGGCTGAGTTGAATCTACTGTCATGAAAAAACAAAAGTCAATAAAAGAGTGGGGCAAACAAATCCCCAGTCGTCTCTCCTGCTGCCTGTAGCTGATGTGAATGGGAGTCAAAAGGCTACTTGGAGCCGGGCAGTGGTGGCACTCACCTTTAATCCCAGCACTCAGGAGGCAGAAGCAGGCAGAACTCTGTGAGTTCAAGACCAGCCTGGTCTACAAGAGCTAGATCCAGGACAGGCTCCAAAGAGACAGAGAACCCCTTAGAATGACTGCCCTGCCCATCCCCCACAAGACCCTGTGCTCCAGATTCTGCTCACCTGCAGGATGGAAGAACCCAGAAGCTGGAGAAGGCCAAGGTTTCCCTGAATGACTGCCTGGCATGCAGTGGCTGTGTCACCTCAGCAGAGACAGTACTCATCACCCAGCAGAGTCATGAGGAGCTGCAGAAGGTTCTGGATGCTAATAAGGTGAGCAGTGGGATCAGCCCCAGCAGCCCACAGCATACTTCATCAGGGGAAACTCACCTGGTCCACCTGTCTGACTTCCGTGACTCCTGCATCTTTAGGGTTTTTTTTTTTTTGGCTCCTGTGTCAGTTCTCTGACACTAGAGTGTTAGACCTGGGGCTTTGGGTTCTCAGTGTCAACATGGCCGACTGTGGTGCGGCTGATGGCATCTGACCACCGAGGCTGGCCTCTGGCTCTCTGAACGGAGCCTGCACAGCCAGAGACTTTGGCATTACAGGTGGCAGCACCCGGTGAGCAGCGGCTGGTGGTCGTTTCCATCTCGCCCCAGTCCAGAGCGTCGCTGGCTGCCAGGTTTCAGCTGGATCCCTCAGACACTGCCAGGAAATTAACTGCATTCTTCAAAAAAATAGGTAGGTGCAGAACCTTCGGAGAGCGAGGGCGGCTGGTGTCTCCCGCCCCCAGCGCACATGTCACTCACCCTGAACTGAACGTCGGGGCGACTCTCCTTAGTTTGACTTCAGTGTGAAGTTTCACTCTGGTGGTTGAGATTGGGACCTTAGGGGAGAAGCCACCTGAGTTCCGACTTTGTACCTTGGTTCTCTGGGTATTTTATAGATTCTTTTGGGTTTTGTTGTTAGTGTTTAGGTTTTGAAGACTAGGTCTCAGATGAGATTGGTCTGGAACTGATTCCCCCTACCTTCACCCAGCAAGTGCTGGAATAACATGCACATGCCTCTGTGCCAGGAGCTGGGGTGGAAGAGGACATGGGTGTTTAAAGAGCCCCCTGCTAAATTGGGGTCCGAGTACCAGAGTGACCAGCAAGCCATCCTGGGGAAGTGGAGGGACTGGGCTTGGACATTCATGGTGCCACCTCTCCAGAATGCTGCTCTCATCTGTTAGGAGCAACTTATTGTTCACCGTGACCAGGAGTCTCTCAGGGGACACCTATGGGTAGGCGGGCATCCCGTGCTCTTGTGTGACACATGTGTATGATGAGGCCTGACCCTTGCTGTCGTTCCCAGGGTCCTAAGAAAAGCCAGCATGGGGGTAGGTGGTTCTGAGAAGAGAAGAGCATTCAGTCCCGCATCACCTAGGACAGTTCCCAGTCGCAGGGAGGACTTAAGAGCCAGGAGCACAGTCTTCCACTGGGGTCCTCCAGGAGCTTCAGCTTCTGGCTTAGGGCAAGCAGGCAGAAGTCTACACATCTCACAGTGACAGAGTGGCTGTTGAGACACATCTGCACAGTCCATGCAAGGGTGCATATGGCCAATGGCCCCAGCCCTGAGGGATGTGGTCGTCAGAAGGAGGCCAATGGATAAGGCGGAGATGTCTGTATGCACCATAAGTTAGACCAGAGGAGGCAAAAGCATCCAGGGGTCAAACCCTACTGGTATGAAAGACTTAAACACATTCAGGATGTTGCCAAGAAGAGTATGTTCTTTAGGAATTCAATATAGGGGACAGTGGTGGGGCCACTGAACAGCTCTTGGGTCATTTAAACGGCAGGTGCTGTGCCTGGTAAAACAGTACTTCCTAATGTCCCCATAGAGATGACATGTTGTGGTACCAGTGGGGCAGAGCCCTGCTCTTGGCCTGTGGTCTACAGTGCTTCTCCACTTAGGACAGAGGTGTTCAGATGCTAGTTTTTGCTGTGGTTAAGGCTAAGGAGCATGCTCACCTTCCATTGCCTTCCAGGGGTACACTTCGTTTTCGATACCACCTTTGCGAGGAACTTCAGCCTCTTGGAGAGCCAGAGAGAGTTCGTGCAGCGGTTCCGAGGGCAAGCGAACTCCAAAGAGGCCCTGCCCATGCTAGCTTCTGCTTGCCCAGGTATGTCCAGATCACCAAGTTAGGACTCCAGAGAGGCCCTGCCCATGCTGGCTTCTGCTTGCCCAGGTCTGTCCAGATCACCAAGTCAGGACCTGATAGACTGACAGCTTGTCAAGGAAAATGGGAGTGATGGGGAGGGGTTACCAGGAGAAGGGTGGAAATGTCAGTGCCTAGGAGGTGCCTAAGGCCCAGGACATCACCTGCAGTCACCAGTTCCCATTGGTGATCACCTAGATGCCAGCCTTCCTTGTGACAGTGATGACGGGAGGAATGTCTTAATGCCACAGTAATTTCTTGTATGAATCGATCCACCCCCAGAATGTCATGTCACTGCCAAGAGGAGAAGAGCTGTTTGTGAACCACCCCCAGGCCTGCCCCATGCACACCCCAGACCTATTTGTTCCTTTTGGCTCAGGCTGGATCTGCTATGCTGAGAAGACACATGGCAACTTTATCCTCCCCTACATCAGCACAGCCCGGTCCCCACAGCAGGTGATGGGCTCCTTGATCAAGGACTTCTTTGCCCAGCAACAGGTAGGAGGACTGGGCATCCCCAGGCAACATAATGAGTAGCAGCCAGCTGTGACACAGGAGTGAGAGATGGGCTGCTGGCTGGCCAGTGATCCTTTGCCTGTGACCATGGCACCTCTGGCCGTGTCTAGGTGACTGAAACCTAGTGGTAGCTGCCAGTGGAGTAAGCTTGGCCTCCGGATCAGTCTCGCCCAGCTTGTCAGGCACCAGGGGGCCCACTTCTGATATAAAGGCACTTCTCATGTAACTCCACATTTAGGGAGCAGAGGACCAAGGGCTAGAAGCACAGTCCATAGACTGCTGGGTGAGCAAATCAGATCTCACCTGAGGTCATTTCCAGTGAGTTACTGGACCCAGCCTGAAGAGACCCACTGATGGAGGATGAGGAAAGGAGGTGGCTTCCATTGTGCCCGAAATCACGAACACTAACATCAACCCCGTGCGTCCCCTCTGTGTGTGCACGGTCATACTTCCCTCGAGTCTGTGTTGTTTCCTCTGTGACCTGTCATTCTCTCAAAGGCAGTGAGAGCCTATCTCCTCTGCTGCTACTGGCTGTTAAGGACAGAAGCGGAGAGATAATGTATGACCTGGTCACAGGGTGGCAGTGGACAGAAGCAGGAGATGATGTATGACCTGGTCACAGGGTGGCAGTG